TCCCTACCCATCACAACCACCAGGCAGGCTGGGTTTGACTATATCCCCACTCTACAGCTGTGCTAACTGAGGTGGTGAGGCCACAGGCAGACTGTGAAGACCCAGGTCTCCCTGCAGGGCTCTCTGCACTCCAGCTGTGAACGAGGCACTGCTGGTGGCAGCTTCAGAGAGAGGAGAATGGCCCTTGCGGAGGAGCATTTCCTGGAGCGCAGCAGGGTGGTAGATTCAGGGGCGGGGGTTGGGGGTGGGGAGAGAAGAGGGCAGGACCAATGAGTCAGAAGGGCAGGGGTGACCTGGATTGGGGAGAGCACAGTGTGGCCAGACCTGGTGCCTGCCAGCCCACTGACATACTGAAGTAGGCTTTCTCCATTCTGTCAGCCCACTGCCACCTCCTTTTGGAGAAGTGTTTTGGGGGAAGGCCTGCAGTCACAAGAGCAAGCCCATGACCCAGGATAAACCAACCAGAGTCCCTCACCCCACCGACTGAAAGACCCCCAAGGAGTGGGCAAAGAACCCAACCACCAGACCAGAGACTTTTTCCGAGATTAAACCAAAGCTGGTTTACGATCGTCCCAAGTTGACATCTGGAACCTTAGTGGTCATCTCTTCCACTGCTTGGAGCCTGCTTGACCTGGGAGAGGGTGGAGCAGACACACAGAGACCAGCAGAGACATGACAGGCAGAGAGAGCTCCAGGAACATCTGGATCCCTGGACCCAGCCTTCCCCAGGCCAGCGCTGCCCTTCCTTTCCCATGGTCCAGGGGGATGAGCCAACAACTTCTTTTTCCTTAAGCTGACTGAGTTGGACTTCTGAAGTCAGTGACCAAAGGAGTTCTGGCCAGTGCATGGTCATGACATATTGCATCAGGTGAATGAAGCCAGAAACATGAACTTCATGGTGGGACAGGATCTATTTCTGCGGCCTCAGAGGGACACGCATGGGTCAACAAGAGAGAGGCAGTGCGGGGACAAACAGCAGAGGGACCGGCGAGATGCCTGCAGTTCCCTGGGCAATGCACCAGCCATGAGTCTTTGCTGGAAATGGGTACCATAGACGTACCCTACAGGGAATCCTACACTTAACAACTTACTCGCTCATGATACGGTGAGACCCAGAGATCCCCTCATACTGGAGGGACACTGTGTGTGTGGCCCTTGCCAGATCTGGTGAGTGTGGGCTCTGCCAGGAAGATGTGGAAAGGCTGAGGCTGAAGGGGACCCTTTCTTAGTGCACCGAGATGATGAGTGCCAGGCCTGAAGATCCAGGGAGGGCTTTTGTCTAGGGGCTGTTTCATCACCAGACCCCTAGTTGATCATGTGTGTGAAGGCAAACCACCCTGTCCTCCAGCAGAGACCGAGTCACCGAACAAAACGCATACGACACTGTGAGTAATTATCTGGAGCAACTGAATCTTTAGCGTTGCAGACTTCCCAGTCTTTCATCCTATAATAACGTCACCAAAGAAAGTTAACTCCTGGACTTTGCATGAGCACAGACTCTGGCGGGAGCCCAAGACTCACAAGGTGAGGACTCACATGAAGTTCTTGCAAGAGTTAGATTTTATATATATATACATTATATTAAACCAGTTATCAACATACATTTTTAAAATTAGGATAGAGTAAGATTCATGCCTCTTAACATTCTACATAAAAGTTTTGGAGTGGTACCTCATAAGCAGTATAATTATGAGGTAATGATGAGTATAAGTGGTATTTTGAGATATTTACAACAATTGTAACGTAACAGGAATATAATCCATGATTTCTATTACTGTGCTTCATTGCCTGCATTCATACCAAAAGGAAATAAGTTAGTAAATAAGATGTAATGGTATAAAATGAAATGGTATAAGATGAAATGGTATTCTTTCATGCTCTAGAAATAATACTCAACACACAGAGGCCCCTAGAACCCACTGACTCAAATTACACTGAAGTGTGAATGGTTGTCCTGGGCCCTTTCTCAGAGTAGATAAGACAATGGTGATAGTGAGACTGATCAAATAGAAGGGAGAGATATTCCACAATGACTGAAGCAGCCAAACTCCAAACCTGCTGACAAACACCCTTGCACACACACTGTGATGTAGAAGGACATTCACTGCAGCATTTAATTTAATAGCAGGAGAGAGAAAATAACTCAAGTGTCCATGGATAGGAGACAGGCTAAATCAATGGTGGTACATCACACAATGGACTGCAGTATTCTGAGTGGTCACAGAAGAACAAAGCTCAGTCAGACTTCCCTGGTGGTCCAGTAGGTAAGACTTTGAGTTTTCACTGCAGGGGGCGTGGGTTTGATCCCTGGTTTAGGAACTAAGATCCCACATACCAAGAGGTGCAGCCAAAAAATAAATAAAAATAAAAAAAAAAAAAGAACAAAGCCCTTCATACACTGACTTGGAAAGATCTCCAAGAAATTTTATTAAGTGAAATAATGACAAATAATGGCAAGGTGCCAAACAGTATTTACTGAATGCTATCTTTAAGGCAAAAAAAGAGATACACATTAGAATGCATTTTAAGATTTGCTTGAATTTGAGTAAAGAAATACTGGATGGATTTTAAAATGGTTGCAGGGAAACAGAATAGATGGAGATAGATGGGAAGCCAAATTTTCACTCTGGACCTTTCAGTTTTCATTTTTGAACAGTGTATACTCAAAATAAAAGTAAAATAACAGTGACACTAAGCTGTGTAAAGGACATCATTTTCATTATATAGATAAACTGTAAAAAAGTAACAATAATATTTAAAATCTGCATTAGACCCCACTGCGCTGTGTTGGATTCTGTCAAGCCTGCAAGGCACTGGGCAAGCATTAATCCCTGTCACTCCCTGACAGGTGCCTCTTAATCTCTCCATGATCCACCCACTGTTAAAGCCGCCAGGCCCAAGTCTCATAGTCCACACAGATTGCTGTCATGCAGCTCCTGGCATTCACCCTGGGGCCAAGTTGCAGGCCCAGCACCCAGGTACCCACTTCGATGCTTGTTGAAGCTCCATCTGGTCCACAGGCCCTCTGGTCCCATACCAAGCACCCTTCAGGAAATTGGACTCAACAAGCCTTTCCGCTCTGTTCATTAAAATCCACCAAGGCAGCGCTGGGCTAACCCAGGGCGGCCTCCACGGCGTTGCCCCAGCACTTTGATGTGAGTTGGATTCGGGGAGTTGGGTTCATTTCCTGCTCCTCCAGCCGCCGGCTCCATCAGCAGCAAACGCTCACCATGGTAACGCTCTGGCCTCTTTTGGGAAACTCTCTTTCCTCCGAGCTTAAAACTATTCAAAGGAGGATCTCTCCAAGTCAATCATTTAAAAGACACTAAATACCTTTTCCAAAGTCAACCCAACTACAACAAGAAGTTGTTAAAAGCATAAATGTGAAGTTGTGTTTCCCTGAGATGCATGCTATATTAGGTTAAGCATTTTGCTTGAAGTAAAAAGGCACAGTACACTTACCAGAACAAGAAAAAGTCAGAACAGAAGCCCTCTGGGAGCCCTCACCTCACTCAAAGGCTGAGGACACGGAGGCTGTGGCTTTCAGGGACTGGGTGGGGCACACGTCTATGTGGTACCCGAATGGTTCTCAATGCTTTGTACTCACGCTCCATGAGCTCTGGCTAAGAGGATATTTGCTATACTCATTAAAGGAGAGAACATTGGAAGCATTTAAAATGAATGCCAGCAGTTTTCAAAATCATAGAGGGTTTCCAGCAGGCTGAAGAGAACAGGTTTGCAGTGCAAGGAGAAAAAAGACGGAGGGGAAATCTCCAGAAAGATAAAGGGCGATGGGGCCACGTGGATGCGGAGATTTTGTTTGTTTGGCTGACTTTCAAGCAAGCAGGATTTGTTTCCTCCTGTCTTCGTTTCCAGCTCTATATCCTGCAGCTGTCACCGGCTGGCCGTTTGGAAAGCCAGCGAATTCAATTCAGAGCCATGTTGTCCCTAAAATGTCAGTGTTGTCCAACCCAGTGCAGAGACCATGAGATCCTGGGATCAGGAGGGCTTATGAGATCAACAATGCTAATCTGCTATCAAACAGAACCTTGGTTTCCAACACTTAAGGCTAGAACTTACAAAACAAAATACATTATTCCTCTAACTTAACTGTGCCTGATTTGGAGGGAATATGAAAGATTGGAAAGTGAAGGTTCTTAATCCCATGATTCCTGGCCTAGGAAAGAAAGCCTGGCTACAAAGCTGGGATTTTTGTTTTCTTACTCATGATAAGAGCATCTATTGTGACAGCAGGTGGCACTAGTGGTGAAGAATCCGCCTGCAATGCAGAAGACAGAAGGGACTCGGGTTTGATCCCTGGGTGGAAAAGATCCCCTGGAGGAGGAAACGGCAACCCACTCCAGTATTCTTACCTGGAGACTCTCACGGACAGAGGAGCCTTGGACAGAGTCCAAGGGGTCACAAAGAGTTGAACATGATTAAAGCGACTTAGACGCCTAATTGTACACATGCGGCCACTCCACAGGACGAATCATGTCCACTTACAGGAAACTATTATCAACACACAGCACAAGGACTCCCCCACTGGTTCAGTGGCTAAGACTTCATACTCCCAATGCCGGAGGCCCACGTCTGGTCCCTGGTCAGGGAGCTAGATCCCACATGCTGCAACTGAGAGTTTGCATGCCACAACTAAAAGATGCAGCATGCTGCAACTAAAACCTGAAGCAGTCAAATAAATAAATATTAAAAAAAAAAAAGAATACTAGCACAGTTATCTACTGTATGCCTATAATCCTAGCTTGTGACTCCAGCATTAAAAAGGGTTAAATGAGCACATGGAAAATCTCTTGGTTAAAAGGAACCAAAGGGAGTTCCAGTATTCCAGACCCAGAGTGGAGAGTGCAGTCTCAAAGACCCATACAGGTAAGTGACAGACCTAAGGTAGACGGTCAAGTCTAACAGCGTAATCTGATGTTACTCATTACACACACACCTGCCCTCCCCCAAAGCAAACAGGACTCTTCCCAGTGACTCACCCAGGGCACCCTGACAGATGTCTGTGCGTGTGGCTCCTCCAACGATAAACTGAGGGCTGGGGCACAATTCCTGGAAACAATCGGGGACAAAACACAAGTCACAAAGATGCCCAGTGATGGTGGCACCAAGGGTGAAGGAGCTTGATGGTCACAAAATTCATGGAAGAAACCCAAGGGATCATCTATTGCACGTACCGCATTTTATCACTGAGGATTCTGAAGCCCAGAGAAGGCAGGAGAGCTGCCCACAGTCCCACAGCAAGGGGTGGCAAAGCAGGTGTTGGAGCCCATAACTCCCCTTGTGAGCAGGCTTTTTATCACTATACATACGGTGTGGGTGTGTGGGTGTGAAGGCGGGGAGGCAGGAGAAAGGCAAAGGCTAAGATAATGACAAGATGAAACATGATCTCACCGTTGGGACAACACCCCTATTTTTAGGGAGAGGATGAGGCTAATGTTTAGCACTCTAAGAAAATGCTCTGCACCCTGCGGACACTCATTAAACACTTGACCCAGTGATGATGACCCTGTGTGCTGATGGAAACACTGAGGCTTCAGGAAGTGTCCTGTCCAGAGAGGAGAACTCAACCTCACTCCCACATCTGACCTGCACTCCGCCGCCTCCCTGCTCAGCTATCTCAGAGTGGCACTTGTCACAGGCAAGCTCGTGGCCCTGGAGCTCTATTAGGGCACAAGAAGGCATCCTGTGGGCCTGCTTTCTTTCTGGTTTACCCAACAAGGATGTACATCCAGCAAGGATGCACTCAGCGCCTGTTCCATACACGGTACCAGTTGCACCATATCAGGCAGGGGAAAGATGGGAGCATGGTGACACAGACGGAAAGAACACACACGGTTCTTGGCCTCAAAGTGCTTTCAGCCTGCGTGGGAAACCAAGATAGACATCCATGACAAGAATCAGAGGCAAGGGACTTCCCTGGTGGGCCAGTGGTTAGGACTCTGCGCTTCCACTGTAGGGGGCTTGGGTTGGATCCCTGGTTGGGGAACTAAGATCTGCAGGCCACGCAACATGGCCAAAAAATAAACAATAAATAAAAATTTTCTTTAAAAAAAATCAGAGGGAAAGCTGAGTGCCTAATACTGGAATGTAGACCACAGAAAACAAAAGGAGAAAAGGGAGAAAGGCCCACAAGGGATTATGCCTGAAAAGACTTAATAGATGGGAGATGATACATGTGCATGAGAAAAGCAGAATCTAGGGCAGATTACGGGCTTCCCAGGTGGCACTAGTGGTAAAGAATCTGCCTGCAATGCAGGAGACGTAAGAGACAAAGGTTTGATCCCTGGGTTGGAAGATCCCCTGGAGGAAGGCATGGCAACCCACTCCAGTATTCTTGCCTGGAGAATCCCATGGACAGAGGAGCCTAGTAGGCTACAGTCCATCGTGTTGCAAAGAGTTGGACATGACTGAAGTGACTAAGCAGATGTGAGGACTGGTTCCCAAAGGAGAGGTGGGTCTGCCTCACCACCAGGCACACTCTTAGGGGACAAGGGTGGGACCTCAAGGGACAAAAAGGAAGCCAGCCTGGTTTTGCTACATCAGAGACTGTCTGACCACAAAGAATGGGAAATATTTCTATCTTACTCCATGAGTGACTGCGTGCTAAGTCACTTCAGTCATGTCCGACTACTTGTGACCCCACAGACTGTAGCCTGCCAGCCTCCTCTGTCCATGGGATTCTCCAGGCAAGCATACTGGAATGGGTTGCCATGCCCTCCTCCAGGGGATCTTCCAACCCAGGGATTGAACCCAGATCTCTTATGTCTCCTGCATTGGCAGGCAGGTTTTTACCACTAGCGCCACCTGGGAAGCCCATCTTACTTCATAGAGATAAAGAAATGGTGGATCAAAAAGGAAAGGAGAAGCAAGAGAATGATGGGCTGAAGGCAGACAGAGAGAGTGGGTGTGCAGCCATGAGCTGGGATTCTGAGGTTCCGGGACCATGCGGGGTGGAGGCTTCTGAATGGCAGTCCTAACACCCTTGTATAAACCTCCTGTCCAAATGGGCAGAGATAGCGCCTTTGGGCTGGCTTTTTTTTCTTCCAAATATTAAAAAAAATAAAAAATCACTAACTTGTTTTTTATTTAAATAGTATGTGCCCATGGGTTAAAATATATAACAGCAAATAATGCTATAAAAACAAAAAAAAATTCCTTTCACTTTAGATTTCTTGCTGTTAACATTTCTTGTATACCCTTCCAGAAACTTTTGATGTAAAAGCATATTTACATATATATAGCTTCCCTGGTGGCTCAGATAGTAAAGACTCTACCTGTAACGCAGGAGACCCAGATTCGATCTGGATTGGGAAGATCCTCTGGAGAAGAGAATGGCTACCCCCTCCAGTATTCTTGCCTGGAGAATTCCATGGACAGGGCAGCCTGGTGGGCTACAGTCCATGGCATCACAAAGAGTTGGACATGACTGAGTGACTAACACCTTATATACATACATTTTCTAACTTGTATATCTTTGCTCAGCACCTATAGAGCTTTATCATTTCATTATAAGCACCATGAGTTATTTAGCCAGCCTTCCAATGATGGAGCTTAGTTCTGCTTATTTGTTTCAATCTCTAGTGGCAACTTTTTGTTTTTTTAATTTGTATGCAGCAGGTCTTAGTTGCAGCATGTAGGATCTAGTTCCCTGACCAGGGGTTAAACCTGAAGCTGGTGCATTGGGAGCGCGGCATCTTAACCACTGGATCACCAATTGTCCCTCTAGCGGCAATTTACAGACAAAAGTGACATGAGCCAAACTAGGGGTTCTAAAAGTGGGCAGCAGCAAATTCTAATCCCAGGTGATCAAGAAGATCCCAGAGTCCAGACATCCTCTTTTGGTGGGCAGAAAGTAGAGAGATTTGAAATTTTAACTAATAAAAATGGAGAAACAAAAAGAAACGTTAAATGTAATTTAAAAAAAAAAAAAGGAAGGGCTGAGAGCACGCTGAACAGAGGTTTGGCAGAATCTCTCTCCTTAAAAACCTTCTTTAAAGAGTCTCCAGCTCCTCATCTCCCATCCATCCATCAGCCTCTTGAAGCCTGGCTCTGATCTCCCAGGGATCCATGAAACTCCTCTCACCTGAGTCACCAGCACTCACAGAATGAGCTTCTCCATCCTCCATCTCATTGCTCTTTCCACTTGATACTGTTGCCTGTTCCCACCTTCTGAAACCCTCCTCTCTTGGCATCTGAATCCTCACTCGCTCTTGACTTTCTCACCTCTCTACTCCTTGTCAAGTCTCCTTCAAGACTTCCTCTGCTCTGCTCATCCTCAAGACCAGGAACCCCTGAGCTGGGTCCTCAGTCCTGGGCATGACCCCATCTCATAGAGCAATTACATGCCCGAAGCCTTCTCCCTGGGTGACGCCATCCAGACCTGTGGCTTCAGTTACTAAGTACAGAATATGCTGATGCTCCCAAATCACTCCCCCAAGCTGTACATTCAATTACCCATGTCATACTGTCTATATAGTAGACGCGCAGTAGACTCATACCTAATAGGTCTACCAAGCTCAGCTAAAATGTTAAGTTTGGCTTGGAAAACATAGTGGTTTGCAAAGGCTGGAGACAACAGAAAGTGTTATAACCAGAATGGTGCTAAGGGGTTCCTGTATGTGCCTGCTAAGTCACTTCAGTCATGTCCAACTCTTTGCACCTCTATGGATCGTAGCCTGCCAGGTTCCTCTGTCCATGGGATTCTCCAGGCGAGAATACTGGAGTGGGTTGCCATGCCCTCCTCCAGGGAATTTTCCCAACCCAGGGATCGAATGCACAGTTTCTTATGGCTCCTGCATTGGCCGGTGGGTTCTTTACCACTAGAGCACCTGGGAAGCCCAAGAGGGTTCCTAGGCAATGGAATGCTCGTTTGATTACTATTCATTAGCATAACTCAAAATGGACACCACCACCCCCCAAGAGAAAACAACCAGGAAATTCCCTGACTTATATGTTGTATGAATCTCTCAGGGGCCACAGAATGCCCTCAGCCTTGCAAGGAGATCACATCTCAGCATTATGCCTGAAGAATATTCCCAAAGTCTTCTCTCCATTACTAACTTTCTATCAGAACTCAGATCAGATCAGAGATACAAAGTAACTTGGCAGTCAAAGACATTTAGAGGCAGGGCCCCTGGGAAGAGGCAGGCTCCCAACTCCCTACACTTGGGACACTATATTTTCTTCCTTTAACAACAAACATGTCTTTTCAGCAATAATGTTTACAATTTCTCAGGTAATCAGAACACACCACAAACTCAATTACTCAAGCCTCCTATCAGTGTCTGATGAAGTTACAAGAGAAACAACGGTATCAGTAAGAAATTCAAGGCAGGAAGTGATTTAAATCACATTCTCAGTGACTTCACAACTTGGAAACGCTGCTCCCCAGGATATTAGTCCATGTCTGAGAGCCTATGTTTGGCATCTCAGGAGCCCTGGCTGCGCACTTTTGGGAAACCCAATGATGCTGTCATGTTCATCATCATCACCATTGATTACGCCCATGGGACTCAGCCCAGCACCCCTGTCCCTCTAGGGTCTGGCCCCATTTGACGTTTCCAGGCTTGCTCTCTGCTTCCCACGGTGCTCGCCTCTGACTACAGGCACTGCCGTCCTCTGAACAAGCTCTGCACACACATCCACGGCCCTGTGCCCCTGCTCACACCATGCCTGCTCGGTCTTGATCATGACCCTCTTCTTTCACCAACACGCCCCCACCTCAGATGTCTGCAGTAATTAACCAGCCCCGATTCCACAGTCAGTTTAACTGTGTCCGCCCCTGAACTCCCATACATTGTGTCCATATTTATATTTCACTCTCTGGACATTTTGTCTTACGATAATAGCTAGAGACAGCTCATAGAATCGAGCATCTGCTACATGCCAGGCACTGGGCTAAATTCATCCTCTCATTCAAACTTCCCAATAACCCAATGAGGTAAGTCATATTATTATTCTTTTTTTTTTTTTTTTTTTGGCCAAATTACATGGCATGTGAGATATGGAATCTTAGCTCCCTGACTAAGGATTGAACCCACATCCCTTGCAGTGGAAGCACAGAGTCTTAACCACTGGACTACCAGAGATGTCCCATGTTATTCCCATTTTATAGATGAAGGAAACTGGGTCCTGGGGAGGTCAGTAACTTAGCCACACAGCTAATAAATGGCAGAGAGGGAACCAGAATCCTGATCCACCTGACACCCAAACCCAAGCTTTTGGCCATTCTGCTGCCGGTCCGCTCTCTGACTATCTCCCCAGCTAGCAAAACTTCACAGAGGCGCCACGCTAGCATCTGTACATGACCAGCTCTCAATAAATCAAGGCGGAGTTGAAAATTCCCAAATTCATTCACCTAAGCAGCAGCAGCTGGATAGAGTGGAAGCCCCACGCTGAAGCCTCGCCCCCTCATGCTTATCCGAACCTCCCAAAGGTCAACCCAGCAGATTTCTCTTAACTGGAGGTGGCTGTCCCATGAGTTTTTACCATGCAGCTGACATTGTCTCACACCTCTCTCTCTCTCTCTCTCTGGTTTTCTCCTCAGGATCAATAAACTGCTTAATTATAGAAAGAAAAAAAAAAAAAGGACAGAGAAGAAAATCATTGACTGGGCTACACTAGGGCCTGCACACATTGAGCATCCCTCAAACCACAGAGGCCGGCTGGGCATCAACCCAGAGCCATAGGGAAGCTGCGAGATGAGAAGCCGCTTCTAGGAGTACTCCATGGCCTCACAGGCAGACATATCATCTGTGACAGGGCTGTGTCCGTGTCCAACACTCGTAGCGGAAGTGTTGTCTTAGGATCATGAATAGCTGAAAGTTTCTCCTGAGAACCCAAGCTTGACCATGAGATCTTCAGTCTGGGCAAACTTGTCCTCCAACCCTTCAAGAGCCCAACCAAACCTCTCACTCGGGACTTATAATAGGCAGGAACACCCAGCAGGGGCAGGATGTCAAATTTTATGATTTCAGAAAACATGTAAGTATCAAGCTTTATGTATGATTGAGAGGGGAAAAAACAAATATCCATATAAATTTCTCCTCACCTTTCCGGAGAAGGCAATGGCAAGCCACTCCAGTATTCTTGCCTGGAAAAATCCCATGGACGGAGGAGCCTGGTAGGTTGCAGTCCATGGGGTCGCCAAGAATCGGACTGAGCGACTTCACTTTCACTTTTCACTTTCATGCATTAGAGAAGGAAATGGCAACCCACTCCAGTGTTCTTGCCCAGAGAATCCCAGGACGGGAGAGCCTGGTGGGCTGCCGTCGATGGGGTCGCACAGAGTCGGACACGACTGAAGCGACTTAGCAGCAGCAGCAGCAGCAGCATCGCCTTTCTCCCAAAGGAAGTAAAAATTAACATCTTTGTGGGAATGAGGGTTCTAAGAGCCACACCCGGGCAGCTGGCTTCAGGTGCCTAAAACCAGGAGCTAAAGGGCCATCGTCGAAGGCAGCAAGTAAAACAAAAAACAGACAACTGAAAACTGGGCGCTTGAACAGGTGTTTTTCCAAAGACGATTTATGAAACGATCAATAAGCACATGAGCGCTTCCCTGGTGTCTCGGTGGTGGAGAATCCACCTGCTGATGCAGGAGACACGGGGTCAATTCCTGGTCTGGAAAGATCCCACATAGTGAGGAGCAGAGAAGGCCGCCTGCCACAACTACCGAGCCTGTGCTCTAGAGCCCGGGAACTGCCACTACTAGATGGGCCCTAGGGCCCACGCTCTGCAGAAAGAGGAACCCCCACAATGAGAAGCCCGGCACCACAGCTAGAGAGGAGCGCCCACTCCCCAAACCTAGAGAAAGCCCACACAGCAGCAAAGACCCAGCATAGCCAAAAATAAAGAAAGAAAATGTATGGGGGAAAAAATAGGAAAAGATGCTTAACATCACTAATCATTAGGCAAATGCAAATCAAAACCACGATGAGATCACACTTCACACTCCCTGGTACGGCCACCACCACAAAACAGTAAATAACTGGTGAGGGTGAGGATGCAGAAAAACTGGAAGCCTGTACACTGCTGGTGGGAACATAAAATGGTGCACTGGCTATGGAAAACAATATAATTAGTCCTCAAAAGTCGAAAATAAATTACCATATGTGATTCTATTTCTGGATCCAGACCCAAGAGGAATGAAAGCAGAGATCTCAAAGAGCTATTTGTCCACCCATATCCACAATGGCCAAGAGATACAAACAACCCAAGTGTCTACTGATGGATGAATGGATAAATAAAATGTGAAATATTCATACAGTGGAATACTATTAGATCTTAAAAAGAAAATGCCATCACATGCCACAACATAGATGCATCTTGAGGACATTATGCTAAGTGAAATCAGCCAGTCATAAAAGGACAAACATTGCATGATTTCACTTAAATAGGAGGTACCCAGAATAGTCAAACTCATAGAGACAGAAGTGGAAGGGAAGCAGGGACGTAGAGTTATTGTTTAAGGAGTACAGAGTTTCAGGTTTGCAAGCTGTAAAAGTTCTGGAGACGGTTGGTGACAACAGTTGCACAGCCATGTCGATGCTCTTATTGTTGCTGAACTATACACTTAAAACGGTTAAGATGGTAAATTTCATGTTGTGTGTATTTTACCACAATCTAAGAAAAAAGGAAGATGGAAGAAAGAGGGAGTGGGGAGGGGAAGAAGAGAGGGTAGGGAGAGAAGAAGCAAATGAACTTATTAGTGCACCTCATTTCTGGACACCCCAACCTTCTTGCGGGCCCCTGAGAGACCTCAAGGAAGAAGGGAATGAAGCATCTGGGAACAGGCTGATTTTCCCAGATCCTGAGGCACATCTCTATTGACAGAATCAGGGTCATTACCAACTCAGGAGCCTATTCAAAACTCTGTAAGATCGTAGAGGATAAAGCTGGGTCCTATAACATGCCATGTGATGTGTGAGCACAACCTAGCCAAAAGCAGCCATGTGAGAATCCTTATTGATGACTGGGAATGGAGAGGGTAAATTTTGACAAGCTTTTATTCACTCATCTGAAAACTCTCAATAATGGGAGTACTTAGGTTTCACATTAATCAGGTTCTACTTACTGCCTCATCGTCTGGATTTTATAGCATTTTGCTGACAGGCACAAATCAGCACTTCATTCTGAAATTACCGAATTTATACAATAGTGAGACCAGGTGAAGACACAGTCTAGGGGAAAACATGGTTGAGGAAGTGAAGGCTCTAAGAATTTCAAATGAAGGAGGGACTTCCCTGGCTAAGACTCTGTGCTCCCAATGCAGGGGGCCCAGGTTCCATCCCTGCTAGGGGAAGAAGATCCTATATGCTGCAACTAAGCATTTACATGCCACAATTAAGTCCTGGCACAAACAAATATATATATAGATAGATAGCTTCCCTGGTGGCTCAGATGGTAAAGAATCTGCCTGCAATGCAGGAGACCTGGGTTCGATCCCTGGGTTGGGAAGATCCCCTGGAGGAGAGCATGGCAACCCACTCCAGTATTCTTGCCTGTAGAATCCCCAGGGACAGAGGAGCTTGGCAGGCTACAGTCCACGGGGTCGCAAAGAGTAGGACACGAATGAGCAGCTAAGCACAGTATATATATAAAGGAGCTTCAAACAAAGGAGAAAAACTCGGCAAAGGCTAACGATACCTGACTTCGGTCACCAAGTGAAGCTTTCTCCCCTCCCACCTTATCCACCTCGCCTCCCCAGGCTCCCTGGGATCCTTCATTCCACTCGAATGCATCCTCTTCCCTTAAGTCTTTCCATCATTCAGTCTTAACATCCCAGGGTCCCACACCCACGGTTTATGTCTCCGTTAGCATTTCCTTCATTCTGTCCAGATGTCAGTCCTTTATTCTCTTGTCTGCCTCCCCACAGCCTCCATCAGAGCTGAGGCCACAGCTGATCCCTCAGTTTCTCCCCAACCACCTTCCCAAACAGGGCAGAGCCAACACCTGGCCCAAAACAGGCCTAAAAAAAAAAAAAAAAAAAAACTGTTGAAATGAAACATGGCTGTCAACTCCTGGCATTAGACTATAAACCCAACCTGGATTTTGCCAACATCGCAAAGTACCCAGATAGGTTCCAGAGAGGGGTGGAAAATGGCCATGGAGGGCTGGAGGGAGGCCAGGCCAAGGAGTTCTGCTCAGAAGCGGTGCTCAGTTGCTCAGTCACGTCCAACTCTTTGCAACCCCATGGACTGTAGCCTGCCAGGCTCCTCTGCCCATGGGATTTTCCAAGCAAGAATACTGGAGTGGGTTGCCACTTCCTTCTCCAGGGGAGGTAACTGTTTTGTAAAACTGATAGGATGAAAACAGAAAGGGAAGAGATAGCTGGAGGTAAAGGGTGGTTCTGACCCCAGGATTCCAATCTAACTTGTCTGGTTCCAAAACCTATGCATGCTCTTCCCTCTATACTTTATCATTTCTGAAAAGAATTTTTTAAGTGGGAGTGCCAGGGTGGCAGTTGTCTGAAATATGGGCTCCAGGAATACAGAGAACTATAGCGTCTCCCTCAACTACTGCGCGAAAGTGAGGAACCTCCATCCTGACTCTCAGCAGCAAGCCCGTCTCCTTACCGTGGGCCGCTTCCAGACAACACCTTGAGTCTGGGGGGAGCAAGGTCCAAGATCCTTGTAGCCCAAAGCTGACGGGCACGCTGGGAACTCTGGGTCCTTAAATAGGACTCCCGAGTCCAAGCACTGCCGCCTCAAGGTCTCAAAGTCCTGGCCCAAGTACTTCACGGCCTTCTGGCTGGAGCCAAGGCCTCCGGCGGCCGCACGCTGCCTGGCTACTCGGGCCGCCAGGGCTGCCATGGCTGAGGGCTCGGTGGGGGAGACAGAGGGCAGGGATGCTCCGTGCTCTTGGAGACCTGCCCCGCTGGGAGGGAAGCTATAAGGCATCGTGAGGCAGGGGAGGGGCGGGTGGAGCAGGTAAACATCTCACCTGAGGGCCCCCGCCCCACTGGCCGCCCCCTCCAGAGAGCAGTGAGTCAGGGCCAGGAGCAAATATGTACCCAGGGTGCAGGTGAACCTGCCCCGCCCGCCCCTTCTGCCTTTCAGCAGACAATCTGGAGGCTGGGAACCTTCCAGGGCCCCTCCCAGGCCATAAGCCTAAGACATTCTTGAGGATCACAGTCATCCATCCCCATCTCTTTGCAAGACCTGCTTACTCGTCATTGGCACCATCAGTTGAGATGAGAAGGCTTATTGGGTAGCGTAAGGCCAGTATTTACCAAAGAATTGGTTCTCAGCAGAAGGCAAAGGGGTGGGAGGGGTCACCCTTCTTTCCAGAAAAGTTTGGCTACATATTTTCTAGAAAAATAGACATATCAGAGAAGGGTGAGTCATGGAAAGCATCAGAGTAACCCCAAGAAAAAGGGGCCCCACCTCTGAGAGAAGGGCTTGGCCTTTTCCTGGGCATCTAGCCCAACTCCACCGGTAATTAGCCCTGTCACCTGGGGCAAGTCATTTACCCTCTCATCCCCTTAATTTTCTCACCTGTAAAATGGAAGGTAATAGTAGGATCTACCTTACATAGGGTTGTTTGGAAGGGTGACGAGATAGGACATAGAATTTGCTTAGAAGAGTACATAAGAAGCACTCAGTAAATAACCAGTCATCATTATTCCTGGGACCCAGGACCAGAAAGAGAAGGCCTGAGGACCAGGGGTTTCGGGTTCTGTGGATGGCCTCTAAAGGCCATCCTTGCTACAAAAAGCAAGGAGATGGGTTTCCCCACGGAGCCCTAAGAAAGGTGCGGAGCCTGCAGGCAGATCGATCTCTGCCCAGCGAAAGCTGTCAGTCTTCTAACCTATGTAACTATGTGCTGTGCTTAGTCACTCAGTCATGTCCGACTCTTGCAACCCCATAGACCATAGCCCGCCAGGCTCCTCTGTCCGTGGAGTTCTCCAGGCAAGAATACTGGAGCGGGTTGCCATTTCCTTCTCCAGCGTAACTACAGAAACCAAATTTGTGTTGTTTTAAAGCCACTACATTTGTCACAATTGGTTATGGCAGGGGAGGAAGGAAATAGGGAGGGGTAGTCCAGGATAGAAATTAGACTTATTTTATAGGTTTGACTTGGAACGTGTAAATATTTAATCCTAAAAACTGCCGTTAAAAAAATCCATAAAATAAAATGGGATGAACGTATTGGTAGCACACCATTCAGAAGTTCAAAGTGGCTAAAAAACACAGTTATTTGGTTACAACCTTTAATATGACATATCTTGGAAGAAAAACTTATGAAACCACAAGAAAAAAATCTTACACTATTTTCACTAATCATATGGTTGGTAATAAAATTTTTGTCATTCTTTCGAAATTATTGTGTGAATATTTTGGGAGAAAGTAAATGAGAAGTATTTGATATTCTAATTCTATAATTCAGTGTCGTTAGAACTCAAATTCTGGGCATGGGTTAAGGGAGATTCATACTTAAGATCCAAAAAATTAAATAAAAATTCTACCAGTCCTCAATTTGGATAGAAAGTATCATCTTAAAAAAGAGACAGTTGCAGCAGACGAATGGATGAGGAAGCTGTGGTACATATACACCATGGAATATTACTCAGAATATTAAAAAGAATTCATTTGAATCAGTTCTAATGAGATGGATGAAACTGGAGCCCATTATACAGAGCAAAGTAAGCCAGAAAGATAAAGACCATTACAGTATACTAACACATATATATGGAATTTAGAAAGATGGTAACAATAACCCTATATGCAAAACAGAAAAAGAGACTCCGATGTATAGAACAGACTTGTAGACTCTGGGAGAAGGCGAGGGTGGGATGTTTCAAGAGAACAGCTCGAAACACGTATATTATCTAGGGTGAAACAGATCACCAGCCCAGGTTGGGTGCATGAGACAAGTGCTCGGGCCTGGTGCACTGGGAAGACCCAGAGGGATCGGGTGGAGAGGGAGGTGGGAGGGGGGGACCGGGATGGGGAATACATGTAAATCCATGGCTAATTCATTTCAATGTATGACAAAACCCACTGCAATGATGTAAAGTAATTAGCCTCCAACTAATAAAAATAAATGAAAAAAATAAAAAATAAAAAATAAAAAGAGACAGTTGTGGGTTCTAATCTCAGTAGAGAAATAGGCTCTGGGACCCTGCACTGACTGTTTTTCTCAGGGCTCCAATTTTTGAGGCCTGGTCTACCCTAAGGATGGAAACATCAGTGATTTTTGAAATTTGGGGGTGGGGAGAAACTGAAAAATGATCTCCCAAAGATATCTAGTCCTAATCTCTGGAACCTGTGAATAGTATATAACTTACGTGGAAAAAGGATTTTTGCAGAAGTGATTAAGTTAAGGATTTTAGAATGAGGAGACGATCATAGCCTTAAGTGTAATTACAAGTATCCTCATGACACAGAGGTTGAGGGAGATTTAACAACAGACAGAAGAGGAGAAGGTACAGACAGAGACAGAGAGACTGGGGTGATGCTGTCTCAGGCCAAGTGCCAGCAGCCATCAGAAGCAGGCAGAGGCCGTAAATGAATCCTCCCCGAGAGTCTCTGGAAGGGCTGTGGCCTTGCCACCATCTTGGTTTCAGCCCCATGGAACTGATTTTAGACTTCTGGCCTCCAAAACTGAGAGGGAACATATTCCTGCTGTTTTAAGCCACGAAGTTTGTTAACTGGTTACAGCAGCCACAGGAAACAAATCTGGGGTGTGTGAGACTCCCGTGAAACACTTGCTTAAAATGCTGATTCCTGGGACTTCCCTGGCAGTCCAGGAGTTAAAAATCTACCTTCCACTGCAGGGGGTGTAAGTTTGATCCCTGGTCAGGGAACTAAGATCCCACCTGATGGCACAACCTAATAGATAAAATTTTTTTCAAGTTTTTTAAAAAATAAAATGCTGACTCCTGCCTTTGCTCCCCACTCCCTCCAAAGTTCTAATTCTGTGGGTGTGGGATAGGACCCAGGAGTCTGCAGTTTTTATACTGTTATCACAGAGATGATGCCAAATGCAGGGGTCCACGGTCCACACTCTGAGAAGCTCTGAACCAGCTGACCTCTGAGGCCCCCACCTTCTAAGTCAGCCACTGTCTGTGTGTAGAGCAGTTCACCAGGCAGGTGGGTCTGGGCAAAGAGGAAGAAGTGTCTGCTCCCCAGGCATCCAGCATAAGACATGGTTTCAGGTTTCACCAGAAATTCATGGCCAAAAAATGACCCTCAGGGGATCAAGCTAGCATCACAAAGACTTGGCTAGGCCCTCGTCTCTCTGGGGGTCCCACCTGCATTTCCTCAACCGCACCTTGATTCACCGTCTGCCCCAATAGTAAGCTCATCCGAAGTTCAAGATTACCTTTTCCCTTGTGGCTCAGCTGGTGAAGAATCTGCCTGCAATGCAGGAGACCTGGGTTCGATCCCTGGGTTGGGAAGATTCCCTGGAGAATCTTCCATGGCCCAAGGGGTCGCAAAGAATCAGACACAACTGAGCGACTTTCACTTCACTAACGTTGCTCCTGGTCTCACTTGGGTGGCCCCATTCTCCTTTAAAACCAGAGCCGTAATTCCTCCATTCAGTCAATACAGAATCCTCTCAAGCACATGGGATTCCAGGGGAAATCTAGCAACCCTGCAAAAGGCACAGAAATACTTATTTTTACTTTTGAATCTGAAAGTGAAAGTGGAAATCGCTCAGTTGTGTCTGACTCTTTATGATCCCATGGGCTACACACAGTCCATGGAATTCTCCAGGCCAGAATACTGGGGTGGGTAGCCTTTCCCTTCTCCAGGGGATCTTCCTGACCCAGGAATCGAACCAGGGTCTCCTGCATTGCAGGCAGATTCTTTACCAACTGAGCTATCAGGGAAGCCCCATTTTTGAATCTACTGCCTAATTATCTGAACCTTGTGATTGACGTCCATGGTCAATCTTAACTCTACTCAGAGCAGTCATTTCAAACACAAATCCAACCATGTCTCTTCCAAACCTAAAGCCTCCTCAACAGCTGCCCATCACTCAGGAGAACAAGTCTGCCCATCGCTCAGCAGCCTGGCCCTTTGCTCCCTCTCTGCCCCCTGTCCCAAACCCCCTCCCCCTCTGCTCTCCACTCCCTGACTCTTTCAGGCCCTGGAATGCCCTGCTCTGTCCCATTGAAGGCTCTGAACCTGCCAAGCCCTCCCCCAAAAATCCCTCTCCTCACCCCCACCCCTACTCAGCCTTCAGATGCCCAGTGCCCCAGGGAAGTCTTCCTGGACCCCCTACACAGAGACATCCACCTCCTATAAGCTCTCGCAGCAGCCAGCGGTACCCTGCCTAGCAACCAAGTAGGGTGAATTTGATGAATGCCCCCTCCACCCCAGCAGGCTCTGACCTCCACAAGGACAACTGTCTGTGTTTGTTTTGCTCATCACTGTGTCACTGGAGCCTGGAAAGCTCCTGGAGCATAGTAGGGACTGAACAAATATTTGCTGAATAAATAAACACCCACGGCTATAAGATGCCCAGTGATTGGAGAGGTACATACCAGGGATAGTAGACCCGGTACCCTCAGGCAGAGCTCATGGGATTGTTCTCCCTGCCTCTGTTTCTCTCCAAGCCTCCCTGAAACACTCCCTGTAGATGGACTGAAATAAACAAGCCTCCCTCCATCTAATGGCAGCGTGAGTGCAGCTGGTAACATCCTTTATCCATAAGTGGCTCCTTTGGGGTTAGCAATCTCCTCCCCACCCCACCTGCCTAAATCACCTCCAGACACTGCACGAACAAACCCGTCTTCATTTTAGGCAGACAGGTCTGTACCACTGTGAACAGAGCCCTCATTTCCCAAGGCAGGAGGTGTCTC